TTTCCCTTTAGTAGTCTCTGTGTTGTGTGTGGGTCAGGATGACTGGATGAATTACATTTATAAGATCCAAATTGTTACAGATGAAGGAAGTTAGGCATGAGGGTGGGATTAATGTTATTTTAAACATGATAACTACTAAAATGATTTAAATTAAATAATATTTTAATTAGGTCTGATGTCTCTACATGCCATACTGAGATACATGTTGTGTGTATGCAAATAAGATGGTGATTTATTGAACGAAGGCTGTGCTAACACCAACCATTCTTTCTGCAGGAAAACTTTTCTGAATCGGACTAACGCAGGTGTGTCTAAGAGCAGGAGTGGTTCACTAAGCAGCATGAGTCTTAGCATTGCAAATGACTAACTCCTGACATAGAAACTTTTCAACTGCTTTCTCATTTTGTTTCCCTCTGACATGTGCCTTTTGACTGACCATTGAACAACTCCTAGTCTGCCCTAATCTGAAAAGTGTGGGTATATAATTGGGAAGAAGAGACCCACCGGACACTCTGCACTCTAAAGACATTTGACTTAAGGTTCAATTTTAGTGAGGTTGCATAGGAATACGAAAGTCTCTTGGCTGGGAACCTTCCATCTGGGCATGGATCTGTTGAATATTTCAAAGGTAGAGAACATTTGCATTTATAAAAGGGCACAACAGTCGTTCTGGTGCCCAGAGACATCCTAGGGTGCTCACAGTCAATGACTGACTACGTAGGAGAGTTCTCAGATCTAAGAAACAGGTGGGAATGCATGTGATGAAGTCTACCAACACAGGGTCAGGTTTTGTTTTAGTAAAATCATATGGTGATTTTTTTTTTTTTGAAGAGGCTCCAAATTCAGAAATTCATTTTCTCTAAGAGGAAGCTAAGTGGTTCTTAGTATACAAAAAGAAATGGAAAAAGATGAACTACTTCTGAAAATCAGTAGGAAAAACGATCCTTCTTATGAAAATTTAAAGAAGATATTTTCGTTATCCCAAATTTGTTTTTAAGGTAATGCAATCTGTCAAGGTGAAAAATGTTTTTCTACTATTCTAATAAAGATCAACTAGCCTCTACCCATAACGGAGGCTTTCTTCTAAATGAGGGTGGAAGAATCCAAGTTGCTGGTATTCGAGGAGAATCTCAGGATCTGCAGTTTCATGCTGACTTGTGTCTAATTCGGGTAGAAATGGATGTGGTGTTTATCTTCCATAATAGCTTGCCATAAGCCTGCTACTTGAATCATGTAGCATATGGAAAATGTGTTTAGCGCCTCGTAGAATTTCACAGGCCTAAAAAAGATCCATTTCTGTTCACACGAGTTGTTTGCAGTCATTATAAAAGCATGTTATTGTGTTGCTTACTCGGTAAGAAAGGCCAGTGTCATATTCCAGTCTCCATTGCATTGATCTTTAAGAAGTATATGTATTGCTTTCCAGTTTAAAATAATAATAATTGTCATATTTTTTTGTAGTTTAGACCTGGACATTCTTTTTAGGATGTAAGTTAATTTTTCCACTTTATTTCTCTCCTAGGTTTTTTAGAGTAGCTATAGCTGAAATTTTACATAAATATATTAGCGACAGCTCATACTTAAGTGAATTGCCATTGAGGGATTAATCCTATAACCTTTATGAGCATGTTTTATTAATATCATCTTATCATTAAATTGAATATTAATAATATTTAACATTTAATAAGCACAGAATGTGTATGCAGTGATGTACTTGATGTTGGTGAGTTTTAAGGATGTAGGAACGTTACTCCGGCCTGAGAGCCATCAGACATGTTGCCCGTGATATCTGCCTAATTGCGGTGAGAGGCCTCAGTTATGAGGCTGTTGGCAGAAGAGCGACCGTAATATTTTTGTTTGTCACCATGCCAAGCAATATGTCCTCAAGAAATGGAAGTATTTGAGGCTGTCTATTGTATTTTTAAATTCTGGAAATATATTTGTCATGAGATAATTCATCATTAAACATGAAACTGGAGTGGGAGAATTAAAAACTAGAAATATTATGAAAGATTATTATGTTTTTTACTACACCAATTTAATTATTCTTATTGGTAAAGTAATATAAGTTATCCGCAAAAGAGAACTTTTTAAGTGACTAAACAGTTACAGTATATTTTAGTCTCTTTTTATCTCCAAAATACCTTAATTTTTAAACCATTTCTTCATGATCAAATACATACACAAAATTATATACTTTTTTTTAAGGTTGACAATAAAATTAAATGTGTTTGATAGTCTGGCACTGATAATCCAGTTCACCCAAAGTGGCAATTAAGAAAGCTTATGTTAGCAAGAAAAAACTAACTTTTGTATGGGTTCTCTCATACAGAAAATTTGTTAGACTATCACAAACGGTCTTATCTCTGTTTTGGAAAATGTCATTGTTGATTCAAGGTTCCTCTGGGTTATTTAATTTTTTTTTAAATTTTTCATCAAAACAAACAAACAAAAAAAACCCCTCAATTTTATGAAATAAAACTAATACCTAAGGAAACTTTCATGAAGTATTTCACTAATTTTCACTGTTTGAACTATTTTTAATATCACCTAAGCACCTTTAAAACATAGTCGTGTATTTCTTTTTATGATAAAATTTTCCCATGTGATGATCTTCCTGACTCAGCTTCCCCAAATTTCTGGGATTACAAATGCACATCAAGATGCCGAGCATTTAAGGGGGACTGGAAATCAAACCCGGGGCTCCCATGTGGTCGCAGCCTGCACAACAGTGTCTTAGCAACATGCGATACTCTATGACTGCACCTTTAAAATTTCCACGT